TTATGTGTGTGTGTGTGTGTGTGTGTGTGTGTGTGTGTGTGTGTGTGTGTGTGTGTGTGTGTGTGTGTGTGTGTGTGTGTGTGTGTGAGAGAGAGAGTTCAGCCTTTTGCAGCCCTGGATTCCAAGATGGCGTCTAATGAAGAACACATGCGGCTCATCTTCATGATTAAGACCAAGTCCTACTTAAGGCTGCAGACGAGCTCTACTCTCCGTTGCAGCCTCATGTTGCCAACCGGTATTTGTGCTTCTGGCCTCAGTTAGTTCTCTTGAGATTAAGGACTAACTTACCTTTGTGCTTTTTCACGTCTAATTCTCCAATCTGGGTCTCCCGACTCGAGGATCCTGATCCTCTGTGACCTAAGCTTCTCCCTGATGGATGTTCCCCATGTGCTCCTTGTCCTCCAGTCACTTGCCTGCCACACCTGGGTCTCCCTGTTCTGGAGTTCTGTTTGGACCACGCTCGACCCAAACACCACCTGCAGTAAGCCAAGCAAAGCAAAGACAATATTAAAAGACTTATTCATAAGGACCTACCTGCCCTACCTCTTGTCCTCCAGGGTTCCTGAGACTTCCAATACAACTGTACCACTTATTCACTGTAAATAATAAACACTGTCAAACTTTACGTCTGTCTGTCTCATCAGCTCATTTATCCTGGGTTCCCTGAGATCATGACATCATGGTCATTCACATCACTCATCAGACTCCAGTGTGAACAGACCCTGAAGTGACCCACAAGGGCAGAAGATGTGATGTCACATGAAGAAACCTGTGTGCAAACACGTGGATATGGACATAATTTAGCATGAAGTTGTTGTGCATTTGAGAAGAGCAAATTATCTGCTATGCTTGTTTCAGCCAATATCTTTCCGCTTCTTGCCTACTCGGGTAAGAATTGCACTTTTGGAACAAGAGAGACAAACTTACATGTGGTGTAGTGAACTAGGCCTCAGGTCAAATCTGGCCTTGAGGGGCCTTCCTGGAACAAGAACTGTATTTCATTGATTTGAGTCCAGAAACACAAATCAAGTTCATCCAGAGACTTTTTAAGTGTCCTGCACTGATCAATTGAAAGAACACTCTCTTTTTCTATTATCATTACTATTTTACAAATGTTTTGATAATCAAAATTGTGTTTAGTTCAAACCATTTTTAGATGTTGCAGTGAACTAATCATTTTTAATCAACTGTGAAACAGTATTAGTGATTTTTAATCCTCATGCAAAGTAGAAATCATGTTAAGGTCTGTTACAGAGTAATTATGCATTTTCTGATTTTCTGTCTTTGAATGAGCAAGTGTAAGTTGGTCCAAGGTTGGAGTCAAACGCAAAACAAGTTGTTGGAACGAACTATCATGTTTTTAAATCCTCTCAGACGTAAATATAGAGGCTGGCACCTGTTTTCCCCCAACTCGCCTAAATATTCCTCTCTCTGTCTCTAAAAACATTTTCAATCTGTTCCAAAACACTTTCTGTTTTTCTGACTCCTAGTGACCTCTTACGTCACAAAAACACACCCCTGTCTGGTCGAATTGACCAATCAGGAACCTCCCAAATGAACCGGAAATAGAACTCTTTAAATGTCGGTACTTCCTAGTTCAAACCAGTCGCTTCAGGCTTCGGCTTCAGTCGTTTGCCGCTCCAGTGCTGGGAGACCAGAAGTCCAGGCATGATCCAGAGCTCTTCCGAGTCTTGTGGGAATTATGCAATCTTCCACATCTGAGTGGAACTTCTGACGGACTCCACTCATGTGAGTCCACCGAGAGGTGAACCTGTGTCGGACGGAATACCGTCACTACTTCGGACGATTCACAGCTGTTCCTACGGAGACGCTGAAAGGGTGCGTTAAATGGAACTCCGTACCAGTGGAATCACCTCCTCCAGGTAAAAGAGTTGATTTATACCACCTAAGTGTACCGGGGAAGAAGCTGGGAACTCACCGGAGAGTGCCGTTCTGATGCAGACACACATTTCCCTCATCCATCTTTTCCTCTCCCCCTAAACTTCATTTTCCATCTTTAAACTCTTCTTTTGCTAGAAATCATTCCAGATATTTTTAGAAATGTCTGTTGTACAGCTGGAAGCAAGGGAAACAATCGCCGTATTGTTTCCTCCTTGTAAAACTTGCTAAATTAACCTGTTGTTATTTTCATATTTTGCCAAATTAATGTAAATGTGTGATGTGTTAAACTTTGATTCTGTAAATAAATGACCACATTCATTTGATGGGTCAAAGAAAATTAACGCCTCACGTTACATTTAATTAAATTCAATGCACGTTATTATTCAGTCCAGAAAAATGAATGAATCCGTTTAATTTATGAATATATCACAGGATATGTTCATCTACAGTGGAAACAAACTCAAGGGTCGATCCAACAAGTTGGTATAGTGTTGTATGTTGCAACGTGACCCTTCAGACGGAGGTCACTTTGGAAAATCATCATATGCTGAATATCCGATAAGAATAACGACAAATAGCCTAAAATGCTGTTTTTATACCTTTTATGACCTGTTGCCAATTAACCTTACTTTTTTAGGTGTCGCTGCCGTCAAATGTTAAAATTACCCAACTCTTTTTTTTTTCCCGTAAATTGTACAAAGATTTAGTTTTAACATCTGATGTTTTATTAGGAATTAAATATGGACTTATGAGATTCTGTATACATTTTTGGAAATATGGTCCATATTAGAATGATAGTGAAATAATTTGCACAATAAGGAAAAACACGCTCTAACGTTGGAGCTGCTGCCTCTCAGGGAGCAGGTCACTCCGGTTTAAATCTCGGCCGGGAGCCTTTCTGGGTGGAGTTTGCATGTTCTCTCCGTGCATGTTTTCCCTGGGTTCTCCCGTTTCCTCCCACAGACCAAAAAAACAAACAAACAAAAAAAAAAAACGTGCATGTTAGGCTGATTGGTAACTCTAAATTGTCTCTAGGTGTGAGTGAGAAAGTGAATGGTTGTTTGTCTCTATGTGTCCCTGTGATGGACTGGAGACCTGTCCAGGGTGTCCCCCGCCCCTCGCACTGTGATGGCTGGACATGGGCACCTGCGACCCCCGTGACCCGAAAAGGACGAAGCGGGTAAAGATAATGGATGGAAAAACAACACAAACCATAGACATATCAGTATCAAATCGACTTCTTTACCTGTCAGAGTTTGAAAAAGTGACACCAAAGACAAGGAGTTTGGGGCAGCTGTGGATCAGTGGTTGGAGCAGTCATCCTCCAACAAGAGACAGTGGTTTGATTCCACCTGCATGCTCTAAGTAGCTGCAGTTTTATTCCCTCTCCTTCTCTTTTCTTCTGTTTGAGTTTTGTTGTTTTATACCTGACCCACCTTTGTGTGTACTTGAGTTCAGTGTCCGTGTAGATCTGTATTGTGTTTTTCCTCTGTGAGTCCTCTGCTCCTCAGCTTCGGCCTCACCCACTCTCACCCGCTCATTTTCTCATCAGCTCAGGTTAGTTCCCTCTCCTTGGCATCTGGCACTGATGTCTTCTGTCCACTGCTAGTTATTTTGTCTCTCAGCTCAGTAATTTTGTGATATGGTGAGTAAATTGGGTTAGTTTCTTTTTAGTTTTCAGTCATGTCAGCTGTTGTTTTCTTAGCGATGTAAGAAAGTGATGTGTGAATGTGTAGAGGGGTAAACGAGGGCACAGACTGTGCTGTAAAGAACAGAGTAGCTGGCTAGAAAGGGGCTACATAAGATTATTTACCATTTGATAATGTTTCTGCAGGTACACTTTGATAGTTTTTATTTATCTCTTTAAAATGTGCATTCATGTGACAGCAGCAATGATTAAATATAAAAGTGAGCAGAAATGTTCAGTTTCTGTAACTTGATTTTATTTAGTTTTTCCCATTTGTCTTTGTAAAAATATAAGAAAAAACTCATTGACCTGGGCCAGAATCCATAGAACATGTGAAACACAAACAACTGATGAATTGCATGATTTTTTTAAATATTAAACAAGTAAAAAAAAAAGATAAACAAGCGTTTCTTTCTTCCATGTCAAACCAAGTTATTCATAAACTTTTAAATATTATAAATACAAAGATAAATAAATAGCTTAACAAGAGAAAAGAACTTCAGTGCAATTTCACAAACTTTTAAAACTCTCTGTCTCAAGCATGTTTGATACAAACAAAATGTGCAAAGCTCCGCTGTCGTTTCCAGCAGGGAGGTGGAAGTGGAATGACCTCGTCGTTGGATCAGTCTTTTGTAATTTGATCAGTGTCGAAGACTTCTTGTTGTCTTCTGACTTATTGTTGATTTCTGTTTGAACGTCTTTTGCTGCAGAGAAAATAAACAGAAAGTTTTACATTGTTCATCGAAATCCAAAACTCCCCACAGTGTGTCATGAATGTTCTCATCAGACATGTTTAAGGAGACTCTTACCTGGAAACGATCTTCTCAATCACTTTTTGCACCCAGAGAGCTTCAGGGTTCAGGCAAACCTCATCACCTGTCTTTTTCATCGTGGCACTGTAACCCAAAGCCACAAACATTGATGTAAGTTTTTTTATGTAGCTCATAAAATCGTCATCATGATTCTTATCTAAACGAGGTGAGGACTTGCTCCTTACATGATCTCCAGCTCGTCGCAGTGGGAGTTGGCGGGAATCAGCTCGACCTTCTCGATGTGCCGGCCGATGGGTCTGCTCTCCGTCTTGATGCAGCGACAGTGCAGCTCCACTCCCAAGTCCCCCATCCCTGTGTGCAGATTAAAGTTGCACATGGTCACAAAATGCAACAGTGCATGGCAGAAAAGATGACTGAGAGACTGCTTTTAAACAAAATGAGGCTTACCTTCACTGCTGGCAAAAAAGGCCAGGAATAGGATGACAGAGAAGGCAATAATTGTGCTGCTCTTCATTTTTGCCTTGTACAGATTCTGTATTAGCTGACAATAAAGACAAAAGTCCTTCAGAGAACTGTCTAAGAAACACTGGAAGCTGTTCTTTCTTCTGCTCTAGGCCTCAGTTCCACCTTCCGTTCTCTTCCAGGTTGAGCTGCTATCTCAGTCTGCTGCTGGAATCAAGAAGTGACAACACTTATATACTGCTCCTCAGCGTGACTCATTTCCTTCTTTTCAGGAGGTTGTGCAATGTGGGAGACTTTGCTGTCGAACGGGAATTTACAGCGCACACTTCACTGGCTCCTTCACTCAATTACTTTTACTGCCTCTGATTTTATCCGGAAACAGCTTGGATCAACAAGTGACACACGTTCAGAGGTGTCACAAGGAAAAACACAGCCACTGAAATCCTGTAACAAACCCACTGAGTAGTGTGTGATGTACAACATTTTTAACCCCATCAAAGTTCATGTACCTCAAAGGTATGTCACATCAAGCTCGATTGATCAGCTGATGAATATTTTTTCATTCAAACTTTATTTATACAGGTTAGTCTCATTGAGTCGCAAAGACTCATTTACAAGAGAGACCTGTTTTTAAAAAAAGAACACAGATGAGGTACACACAACAGTAGACAATCATATAAAAGCATATAAAATGAAAAGTAAATAGAAGTAATGTACGGTAAGAAATCAGAAACCAGCTACATTATAGAAAGGTGTAAAATACTAAAAACAGGAACATGTCTGTGTTGGTTTTTGCAATGAAAACAGTTGTTTGAAATCCCTTAGAGTGGTCAAAGTCGACAACTTCACATCTTTTTGCAAGGAATACCAGGATACAGAAGTACAGTGCCTTGCGAAAGTATTCAGCCCCCTTGAACTTTTCAACCTTTTGCCACATTTCAGGCTTCAAACATAAAGATATAAAATTTTATTTTTTTTGTGAAGAATCAACAACAAGTGGGACACAATCATGAAGTGGAATGAAATTTATTAGATGTGTCAAACTTTTTGAACAAATAAAAAACTGAAAAGTGGGGCGTGCAATATTATTGGGCCCCTTTACTTTCAGTGCAGCAAACTCACTCCAGAAGTTCAGTGAGGATCTATGAATGATCCAATGTTGTCCCAAATGACTGATGATGATAAATAGAATCCACCTGTGTATAAACAAGTCTCCGTATAAATGCACCTGCTCTGTGATAGTCTCAGGGTTCTGTTCAGAGAGCATCATGAAGACCAAGGAACACACCAGGCAGGTCCGAGATTGTTGTGGAGAAGTTTAAAGCCGGATTTGGATACAAAAAGATTTCCCAAGCTTTAAACATCCCAAGGAGCACTGTGCAAGCAATCATATTGAAATGGAAGGAGTATCAGACCACTGCAAATCTACCAAGACCCGGCCGTCCCTCTAAACTTTCATCTCGAACAAGGAGAAGACTGATCAGAGATGCAGCCAAGAGGCCCATGATCACTCTGGATGAACTGCAGAGATCTACAGCTGAGGTGGGAGAGTCTGTCCATAGGACAACAATCAGTCGTACACTGCACAAATCTGGCCTTTATGGAAGAGTGGCAAGAAGAAAGCCATTTCTCAAAGATATCCATAAAAAGTGTTGTTTAAAGTTTGCCACAAGCACCTGGGAGACACCAAACATGTGGAAGAAGGTGCTCTGGTCACATGAAACCAAAATCAAACTGTTTGGCCACAATGCAAAATGATATGTTTGGTGTAAAAGCAACACAGCTCATCACCCTGAACACACCATCCCCACTGTCAAACATGGTGGTGGCAGCATCATGGTTTGGGCCTGCTTTTCGTCAGCAGGGACAGGGAAGATGGTCAGAATTGATGGGAAGATGGATGGGACCAAATACAGGACCATTCTGGAAGAAAACCAGTTTGAGTCTGCAAGAGACCTGAGACTGGGACGGAGATTTATCTTCCAACAAGACAATGATCCAAAACATAAAGCCAAATCTACAATGGAATGGTTCACAAATAAACGTATCCAGGTGTTGGAATGGCCAAGTCAAAGTCCAGACCTGAATCCAACCGAGAATCTGTGGAAAGAGCTGAAGACTGTTGTTCACAAACGCTCTCCATCCAACCTCACTGAGCTCGAGATGTTTTGCAGGAAGAATGGGCAAGAATTTCAGTCTCTCCATGTTCAAAACTGATAGAGACAAACCCCAAGAGACTTGTAGCTGGAACTGCAGCAAAAGGCGGCGCTACAAAATGTTAACACAAGGGAGCCAAATAATATTGCACGCCCCACTTTTCAGTTTTTTATTTGTTAAAAAAGTTTGACACATCCAATAAATTTCATTCCACTTCACGATTGTGTCCCACTTGTTGTTGATTCTTCACAAAAAATAAAAAGTTTATATCTTTATGTTTGAAGCCTGAAATGTGGCAAAAGGTTGAAAAGTTCAAGGGGGCCGAATACATTCGCAAGGCACTGTAGAGTAAGAGAAGGCTCTTTTGCCAAGTTCGGTCTGCACTGACGGAACACTGCAGGTAATAATGTCCAGAGAGCTCACGCTGTAGCTGCACTCACGCAGTTACATGTAGGAGGAGATGTATGAAGGCAACAGACCAAGAAGTGATTTAAAGATGAAAATGTACCAGTGTGAGAGCCTGTGTAAACTTAATGATGACCAATTGACCAATGAATACAGGGTGTAGTGATGGGTATGGTAGTTACAGCCAGTTATGAATCTTAGCGCACCGTGGTAGACAGCATCCAACATCTGCAAGGAGCTGGCAGGAGCATTCATGTAAATAATGTCATCATAGTCAATGGAGGGAAAGAAAGTAGCAGTTACAAGGTGTTTCCTAGCATTCAAAGTTAAACAGGATCTATTTCTGAAAAAGAAACTCAATTTAACTTTCAATTTCTTTACCAAGTTCTCAATATGAGACTTAAAAAAGGGATGTGAATCGACCAAGATACCCAAGTATTTATAAGAATTGACTAACTCAATAGGAACACCATTCGTAGATAAGATAGAAGGAAGGACTGCTGGTGCCGACTTCCTGTTTGAAAACAACATCCCTTTGGTTTTATCAGCATTAAGCACCAGTTTGAGTTGGAACAAATCTGACTGGATGATGTCGAATGCAGACTGTAAGAGCTGGAAAAACTTCGCAATTGTTCTAGCTCGACAATAAACAACTGTGTCTTCAGCGTAGAAATGTAAGGATGCATTCAGAATGACCTAACCTACATTACTTATGTAGATTGTAAAGAGGATGGGTCCTAAGACTGAGCCTTGTGGTACACCATTGTTGGCAGTTAGAAAGCTGGAAAGAAGTTGTTATATTACAGTTATATTACACACATGACATGTAAGCAACAATAATTACATGGAATCTGTGAAAATCATTGAATAGTCCAGGATTTGTGAACTTTCCCTTGATGTTTTCGCCTGTATCTGTGTGTGTGTTCAAGTTTCTGTCTGTTAGCAAAATATTTAATAAACCACTGAGCAAATTTTAATAAAACTTGCTGCACCTGATTATTATTTGGAGTCCGTCCAATTCAAGATGACCATTACAACTAAATGACATTGGCCATCACTTAAAGAAATGGCAATAACTCCCAATTTTAGATAAACTGAGGTCAAATTTGATGTGGAAGTAGCTGAGAGTCATTCACAACACACACTCTAAGCATGACATTTCACAATATATATAAGATTATTTTCAAGGTTTGACCAAACACAACTCGTCAAGAAGAGATGTTTGTTGTTTGAAGGAATGTCTCCATTTACCTGTCTGTGTGCATAGGTGCTTAAAAAACCCCAAACAGGAATACTTTCTTATAAGTACTGGTTCTATCTAAAAGAAAAAAATATATATATTTCTTGAGTTGCATTTCTTGAGTTGTATGTGTTGACGTTTATGCATCATTAAGATATTGCAAATTGCAACTTGATTATTGCGCTTATCAAAACATGAATCCATGCTTCTGGCATTTCCCAAACAAGCGCCACGAGGCAACGTGCCAAAACATTTCATGGGACTGAGTTCTGATGCAGCCTCAACAGGCCCCAACACATCTGCTCAAACGTCACAGCAGCAACTTTCACAAGCCAGCGGGACACACATGAGGTCATTTATGAACAATGGATCAAACCTTGTGACACAATTATTTATCATGTTTTAATTCATTGAAATCAAATCATTCACTGTAGCAATAAGGGATACAGTATAAATCTACAAAAATACTGTAAATTCAAGTTTAAAATATCATAACAGTAAAATAACAAGCGGTATGCTGATGTCCCCCATCACTGAGGGATTTGAATAGTGAAAGTTTGTAGTTTTCAAGTTAAGTGTTTTTTCTGGACTGGAATTGAACAGGGGCAAGTAAACCTAAATGTTTTTGGTGTAAGATATTCATGTGGGTCGGAGTTACACTGTGGAGAATACCAGAGGTAGATTTAATTTATTTTTTTGCTTGTCCAAGGCGGTGTAGAGTGATTGATCCTGGCGATGGAGGGAGCCATTTTATACACCTCCAGGTGCAGTGGTGGAGCCAGAGGGTGGCCAAAGGTGGCCTTTTGCCATCAAAAATTGATCTTAGGCCACCCCAATCATTTGAGGAAACTAAACTTTAAAGTAATACAAAAACTAGAAAGACCGGTTTACACATAATTATATAGAAGTGGCCATCTTGGATTTTGACACAGCCAACACATTTTTAACAGTTTTCTTACTCCTAGATGCAGCCTCACAGAAAATGGAAGTCGGTACTTCAATTGTTTTTCAAGTTATCATGCTCACAACCCGGACAGATGAACGGTATTTCCAATTCCCTCTCTTCACTCTGTGACGGGACAAAAAATAAAACCTGCACACACTATGTTTGTTTGAATGGTTGTACTTAGATGGCATTTTCATAAAAAAATAAATAAACCTGAAACAGAAAGAAAACGACAGATATTTCGCACATGTCCGTTTGTTTTAAATACACGGAAATGAAAAACAGATGTGGTTAGATACAAAACACGTGCTGAGCTTCTCTGGAAAGTTTTAAATTTTTGTAATTGTCTGTGCTTCAGATGAGATCAGGTAAAATACATGTGACCAACATGAGGCAGATTTTAAATGACCTTTTTATTCTACTGCTTTAAAAGCCATTTCACCTGCTGATGG